CCAAGCGGCATGTTGGGGCGCCGGCAGGCCTGGGGGGGGAGGGCAGAGGGGTGCAGGTCAGGAGTAAGGGGCACCGGCCGTGCTGGGGGGAGCAGGGGGCTGCAGGTTAGGAGTAAGGGGCACCGGCAAGGCTGGGGGGCAGGGACTCAGGAGTGAGGGCCACAGGCAGGGCACAGGCATATCACTAACCCCTCCCACAATCTATACCTCTCCACCCCCCCACCCCAATTGTCCTCTTTTTTGATCCTGGAAATATGGCAACCCTAGAATAAAAGATATTACCCCCTGAAAAGAAACCAACCAAACAAAAAAACCCCTTGCTTCTCACACATTTCCTGGACTATCACAGCTGCAAACGCTCCAGCCCTATTTTTTAGGAGCTAAAATCATAGGGTTGGCAAAAACAAAAATGTTATGACCAGATATCATCATAAAAAAGACACTGCACCAAAAAACCCAATGAGGTTTGTCACAAAGGTACTACAAAACAAAGTTACTTTGGGGGTTCACCATGTATCATGCATGGATAGTCCCCCAAGCTATGTTTATTATTGAGGTGTTTGGTCTCTATAGCTAGTGCAAAGCTCTGTTCAGTTTTATTGTTCTTGTGTTTGTACATGTTATATATTTGATCCAGTGTAATACTGATGTATCTTTTTATTTCAGCTAAGGTTGTGTTAGTAAGGTAGTGATTAACTTGAACAGCCCACAGCTGTTCACACTCAGCAGAGTCACTGATTGAGAATGACCATTTGACTTGGTTAGTGTATTGGTCCTCCATACAGATGTGCCAAGAGACAAGGGGAAGCCTGGTCAGACAATGATATGTTTACATTTGAAAAGAAGCCTGATATCTAACCGGTCAAAATATCATACAGGAACAACAGCATATCAGAGTAATGAATCTACGCATCTAAAAAACATATAAGACTGTAGTCTGGTAAAGGTGCACCTTGGGGGCTAGGACAGGGGCGGGCAATTATTTTAGCTGGAGGGCCGCTGAGCAAGTTTTGGCAAGTTGTCAAAGGTTGCATGGGTAGCCACGCCCCTTGACAGGTGCCCTGCCCCCTGGTTGCCATCTTGGAACCGGATCTCCCGCCCCTAACCCCTGACCTTTGCCACCAGAAGTCCCTCCCCTTGCCCCCAGAAGTACTCCTTTCAGCAAGGGGTTTTGCCATCTTAGAACCAGAAAAATACCAAATTATATTCTAAAAAGAACATATATAACATTCATTAATGTAATTTCAAAAAATATTTTTGTCCAGATTTACATGCATTTATGTAGTGTACACAAAGGTGATTGCACAATAGCTTAAAATGAAATCTTAGTCTTGTATATTGTGGGGGGCTAGGGATATGTGGGTGGGTATAGGTTTGTGGGGGGCTGTCTGGGGGGTGGATAGGTGTGGGTGTAGGGTGAGGAAGCATGTGGATGTGTGTGTGGATATGCAGGGTGTGGGTGGGTATGGGGTTTATGGGGGTTTGTGGGTACAGTGTGTGTCAGGGAGGGTGGCAGGGTGTGGGTGCATGTGTATGATTGGGTGTACATGTGGGACTCACCCTACAGACACACACACACGCCCTTCCTCCCAGTCCTGGGTCATACTGCCCCTCGCTCCTGTCATCTTTGACAGGCAGACCGAAGCAAATATTAATTTTCTAAATTTTTTAGGGACCCTGTGGGCTGGATAGAGTGGCCTGGTGGGATGGATCTGGCCTGTGGGCCATATTGTACCTGTCCCTGGGCTAGGAGGTTACTGGCACAGAGTGACACCCCCCGCTTCCCTCTCCTTAGAAACAAAAGGATGAAATATGTCAATACCTGAACTGGCAAAAGTACTGAAGCCTGGCTAGAGAGCATGGCTTTGTCTTCAGTCTTACCAGGTACAAGGGAGGGGCTGGATCCCAGGAAAGGAGGCTGAGAAAACAAAGCTGACAGAGGAATGCAGGATGCTCTGATGGGCAGGGTCAGGGCTAAGACTGCATTTAGGCCCTTGAAATTGGCTAAGGACTGCATCTTTGGATTTAAGGTGTAGGGTAAAAACAGGTCAGTGTTCTGGTATTTTATTTTGTGTGTTTACTCTTAAATCTCTGTCTGTATCTCAACATTTGGTAACTGGTTTCTTACACTTGTTTTATAACAAATTTTGTTGTTTCTCTCCTTACTGGCTGCCTTTAGAACTAGCGACTTCTGGGCAAATGATATTCTAGGCTGACCCTCTCCCCACAGAGGGGGACCTATAATTTCTTCCTTCGTGATCCAAAAATGGGGGCCACTTAACGCCAGCATAGATCCCTCACTATATTTGCAGAAGCTAGCGAAAGGTCTGAGATGCTGGGATAGGCAACTCCCCTGGGGCAACTTTTCTGGTCTTTGGGGTAAGTAGCAACACAGTGGGGAGAAATTTGGGGGCTCCAGCAGACAGGCATGTGACAAGCTCTATAAGTTGATGCATCACATTGTGGGTTGGTGAAGTAAATGTCGCTCTTCTGCGAAATACACTGGGGAGGCAGAATCCAAATATATCCAGTTCTAGACATTCACTATTGGAGGTGTCCCTACACACTGCAGGCAGTGGCATACCTTGGTGTGAGGGAGAAGGGCACTAGACCTGGGCACCTACTTAAGAGGGTATATGGAATAGGGGGAGTATGTGTCCCAGCAGCAAGAACAACCCCATGGCACTGCCCTTGCAGCAGCAGCCAGGTGCACAGACATTATGTTGCTGATATAAGAGCAACAGCAGGGGCAGTTAAGACCATGTTGTGGCAACATTGGCAGTGGCAGAGGAGTGTTTTGAATCTCTAATATAAAACTCCTGCCCCCTCCAACCCTCCACTCAGAATTCTTGCCTCTCCAATGCTTAATAGCACCTATCTTCTCCTCCATGTCCTCCTTCTCTCCTGCAGCATTTGTCCAGGGCATGAAGAAGACAATATCCAGGTGTGTGGGGCCCGATCTGGGTAGCATAAGGTGGGATCCGGGTGTGCAGGGCATAATCCAGGGAACACATTATGTTATGAAGAGCAGACTATTTTAAATGCATGCTAGCCTTCTAAATATTTGCACCATTCTACATGGGAAACCACTACATTTCTTTACCTGGGCAAAAGTATCCAGCTTGTCTTTATCATATAAAACTCTGAGCATTCCAGCACACAGGGGGCAGCACGCTCCTGCAAGACATGCACAAAATGCAAGTTTTACTTCCTAGATTTAATATGATCATTTAAAGTGGAAGGTAAAAATTCCAGTATATGGAAAATATAGTAACAAAAGTCCTAAAACAAAGCCAAGGTTCCACTTATGAGAACAGACCTGCCCATTCAGCAGTTGAATTAAATGGTTTCTGAGCATTTAGGTTTGCCATATTTGAAACTCAAAAATGATCCATTCTAATGTAGAGTTATGGGATAATTTTTAGCCACTTATATATGATATCAAATTCCTGTGAAGTTAAAAGTTTTGCTATTACAAGCTAAGTTACAAGGCAAGATATATGTACAGCTTGAGGAAGGATATACCCTTAAATCTATCACTAGCTAAATTCTAGAGGATGGGGAGTCAGATCAGTAAAGAGAGACAGAGACCAGCTTGTTCAGACTGCCGTGGACTCAGATAAAGAAGTGCTTTATTACAAATGGCACACGTGTAATCAAAAGGTTGTTTGTTAGGTAACCAGGGATAGCTGTTTTTTTAATGTGTTTATGACATGTTGGGATTTAAGATCTTGTTATCTAGAGGTGAGACTGCTCATGAGGCAGAATTTTAAGATTTCACATGACGATATTCCCATGTTTTTCTAAATTTACCATATCTTCAATCCCTGCACTAAATGCCACTCCTCCAGTTCTTTCAACTAGCTTTCCTCATCCTGTCTCTGCAGCCCCAATTCAATCTTCAAAAAGTTGTGAATTTAATTTTCCACCTTAATAATCTCAGAAACGTACAAAAGAATAAGATATATTTAAAAGAAGTCACTTTCAGTCCAAAGATGAATGTGTTTGTATGGATAGCCTTCAGATACTCTCAAACTCTAAATAAACCTCAATAACAATCAAGACAGTTACCTGGTGCAATAACTGGTTTGCATCCAGTATAAGAAAGGGAAGGACATTTAACAGAAGCACATTCTGTATGAAAGCCATAGTCTAAGAGCACTCCAACAGCCTGACACTGTTCATAGTAGTCTATAGCCACACGGTCAGAATAGGCTGCACATACACTTCCATAGGTTTCACCATTATGTCCGCACACTGCCTCTGTTGATTTGCAGAAGGGCTAAAGAAAGGAAAGAAAATGAAAAAATAAGACACTGCAGCTGCTTCTCAGTTTGGCTCCAATGTGGAACCTGAAAAGAGGCACATGAGACAGTTCCATCTGCCCCATGCACCCATTTCCAGGACCTACTGTGCAGGGTCAGACTAAGAAGGGCTGTGGCAAAAGCACATATGCCTGCAACAGCTGCTTCCCTATCTGGTTGCGCAGGAAGTACACACTTCAGTTTCACTTGACCATGGTGGCAGTGAAGTGAACAGAATAAAATTATAAAGTTCAGTTTCTAACATAATGACAATTATAATGGTTACCATATGAATGTGCTATCTGAATTACCTTTTTTAATGGGATAGCACTAAATTTTGAAAAGGTTTGGAGGGTGACTTGAATCCAAAAAGGTTGAGAACCACTGCTCTGAAGCAAACACTCCTGCCACTATCAGAGATAAGACACAGGTCTGGATGGACCACTGGTCTGACCCAGTGTGGTACTTTTCATGCAATGCTGAGACACAAGGATTCACAACAGTCTACTTTTCATCTTTTCTTTTGAAGGTTTTTTCTATGGTTGTTGTTTCTATTGAAATTGTTCAAAACCAACAGATAGGTAACTAGTCAATAAAGCTAGCTGATTCGTGGATCAGCCATTTGGAACAACATTTTGTACAGCAAAAAAGGGGTAAGAAACACAATTTTCAAAAGAGTAACAACTCCAGAAACTGAAGTTAATGAACATACATATCAGTGAGCATTTTATACAGCTAAGGTAGACAGAATGGATGGAATAATGTGAATAATGTCTTCTGGGCATTTTCTGTGGCAGCTGAAGCCTCCCAATACCATTTTCACTCCTCCCCTTGGACAGCTTTGGTGTCTGGAACCACAAATTAGTAAGATACCAAACAAATTTTGTATCTCTGGCTTCTCAAACTAGGTGGTCACACACAAAAAGTTTGAGTGGCCTTGTCCTGCATTTGAATGTGAAAAAGAATAGTGTGGACTGCTCTTTCATACTGGATTGAACACCTTGGGTCTCAGCGTACGGTGAAAAGTATCCCAAAGGGATCAGGTTAAGAATCAACTCTATGGTGTCAATCAGTCAAGTTTCTGTGATCAGGCCAAGTAACTAGCTGGGAGAATGGGGGGGTGAATGGGCTTTCAGGGTAGCCATGGCCCTCCTTGTGAGACAGGGAGGTATGGGATTGGTGGAACATTAAGTGAGTGGGGAGGGGACCCCCCTGAGTGAGAGGCATGGGGGTGAGACAGCTATGGCCTCTCTGTGAAAGAGGCAGATATGGGGCTGGAAGGAACGACCTCCTCAAGGAGGAGGAAGGGCAGTGGGAGGAAACATGGGAAAAAAATGTGTACCTTCTATGCAGGTAGTGAATGTGGGATGGTAAGTGAGGTTCAATTAGACAGAGAGGATACTCAGTGAGAAGCAGGGGAGCAAGAGTGGGTGGGGTAGTTTATTATGAATGTTGGAGTATTTGGGGGGGTTGTTTTGTTATATTATCTTACTTTAATTTTTTATTCGGTTTTTATAATTAACTTTTATTCTAAGCTGCCCTGAGCCTGTTTTGGGAAGGGCACAATATAGATCAAACAAACAAATATAGATCAAATAAACAAACAATGTAGTTTTGACTGTTGATCTCCAGCTGATCAACAGGAGGCTGAGGTTGTTCACCTTTGAACCCATACGTAAGGGAGCTGTTTGTACCACATTAAGTAATGCTGTACTGTCATTTTCTTTACTGGGTGTCATTCAGCAGGAATGAATGTCACAGGCAGTAGTTTTACTTCATGGTGCATTGGGTATGGGGAGTGGCAAAACTACTCCGTTCCTTAGGAAGCCAAGAACTGAACTGCAGGTGAAGATATATGTCCAATGTCGGAAGTACATGTTATAGTAAGGTGACATCCACTAGCACCATGCTAAGGGAAGAGTAAGCCTGAGAAAACTTAACCCCATGGTGGTGGACTGTGGGATCTGCAAGTAGGAGACATGCAGGGCTAGGTATTTTAGAGTATGAACACAGGTAGGACTACCCTGTGCTCTTCAGACATGATTCCAGTATTTCCAATATTATTCCAATATGAGCAAAAGGGGCCTTCTGCTATTTTCTGTCCAGAATAAGAATGAAGAGAGAAAGTGGAGCTTCTCACCAGGTGAGGAATTCACAACGCTTAGAGCAGGGTGGGCAAAATGCGGTCCATGGCCCAGGCCATTCTATCCAGCCCACAGGGCCCCTAAAAATTTTAGAAAATTAATATTTATCTGCCCCTGGCTGCCTGTCACGCGGCCCTCGATGGCTTGCCAAAACTCAGTAAGTGGCCCTGTGCCTGAAATAATTGCCCGCCCCTGTCTTAGAGCCAGGAAGTTCTACTGCTCAGCTAAGGACTCAAAAGTTAGTATCTTTTTGAACTGCTAGAGCAGTTCGAAGTAATTTGTTTGTGATGTGCCTTGCTGCTAAGAGGAAAAAGGTGTAATAAAATTAATTGCAGACCTTTTACAGCAATCGCCGAGTGTCTGAAAATCTGCTGCTGATGCTTTACAATTGTTAATGCTGGTGCTACAGCTGCTAAAATGCAGCAAAATGCAAAAAAAAAAAAACCCAGAGAAAAATCAAGTTATTTAACTGGGTAACATATTTCTGACCTACAATATTCAAGACTTATACTGAGTGAAGTCTTAACATTTTATATGAATTCCAATGTCCAGGCTTGTGTCCTGCATTACATAGATAACTGCATCTGTCAGACTTATCATGTCAGTTAAAAATTGTTCTGCCACATTCATTAATGATGATTTTTCCAGCTATGTTCGAAAGTTATGTCAAACCAAAGGAATAAGTGATCAGACCTCAATCTCTGTTTGATATATGATACTTTCTTAAACTACGGAAATTACATTCAACTATCCAAGGTACTGTAACTAATTGCTGCAGTCTTACTTTATGTAACTTTTAGTAAACAAAAAAGTACTGCAAGATCTGATGCTATAGAACAGGGGTGGGCAATTATTTCAGGCAGAGGGCCGATTACCAAGTTTTCACAAGCTATTGAGGGCCGCCTGGGTAGCTCCACCCCTTGACAGGTGCCCCGCTCCCTGGTCACCATCTTGTGACCAGAAGTCCTGCCCCCTAGCCCCTGACCTTTGCCACCAGAAGTCCCTCCCCTTGCCCCCAGAAGTACTCCTTTCAGCAAGGAGTTTTGCCATCTTGGAACCAGAAAAATACTAAATTATATTCTAAAAAGTGAACATCTACAACATTAATTTTATTTTAAAAATATTTTTGTCCTGATTTACATGCGCTTGTGTAATGTACATAGAGGTGACTGTACAATAGCTTAAAATG